GGGGGGGGGATTGGGGTTTTTCGTCGTGTGTGAGCTGTCTTAAGCTGTGGACTTTGACGTTTCTTGGGTAGAAAGGGCTGAGCATGTGCAATGACAGCGGGTTAGAGGGAATATTTGTTCCCCAGTGGCTTCCTATGTTTATAGGGATGGGTTGGCTTGATAGGGTTCGTTATGCGTATAGAATTTGTTGTTTTTATAGTGCTTCTTGTGCTTTCAGGGTTTGCTGTGTTAACAAGGTCTGTCGGGATTATCGGGATTGTTGCAATCTTATGAGTTGTTGGGTTGTTTACTGCAGGTCTACGTGGCACTGTTTGCGAGAAATCAAGCAAATAGAAGGCATTCGCTCACTGTACTTCGGCATGTGGCCTGCAATGTTGCGCAGTATTCCCGCAGGGGCAATTCAGTTCGCCTGTTATGAGCTGATGAAGGAATTTTTCTTGATGCGGGCAGTTCACGCAGCAACCGATTAGTGGTTGATCAATAATGAGATCAATGAACACACATCTCATTCCACTAGTTATGTTGCAGTGTGTTCTCTCCCGGAGAAAGAAGAGTGAATAACCTGGAACTTTCGGCACTCACAGGCCTGTAGTGGCTGTTTCATATTCACAACTAGAGTCTACTTGTGAATACAGTCCGAAGTCGTATAAGTCCAGAGTCATAGAGCACAATGAGATTACCCGTAATAATGACAAACTCGTCCCTTCCTTTCGCAGGCTCCCTGCTCCTGGGCACAGAGGGCGCCTGAAGGAAGGGTCTGCAGCTAATGGTAACGCAGCGGAGATAACAAAGGCAAAAAGAGTTCCCCACATCAATAGCCGACCTGAAGGCAAGTGAATATGCATGACTACCACCTTCAAACAGACCCAGTTACACTAGCTGCAGGCGGCGGTGGCTGACTGCACTTAGATGCAGCTCCCAGCTGGTCGACCTAACTGGAGATATCTCCCTTCGGCCAGTTGGGAGCACCTATGTATGATGACGCATGGATATTTACAGCTTACTGTTGATAGATGCTGTCCACAAGGTGTGAAAATGGCAGATATGGCTTGTAGCCTTTGCGAAGGTCGTAACTCGAACTGATTTTCATGTGTATGCCGACCAGGTGCCTTCTATGCGTGTTACGGTTGTCGAGCGGCTTCGCTAAGAGGAGGGGAGGTGTGAAGGAATTTTCATGATGAATATTCGACTATTTGACTTAAAACCACGATTAAAAAGCTCCTACTGCCCATTTCATAGAAGTTTGCCGACTGCTTCTGTGACCGGAAGGTCAGAGGCACGTGTGCTCGAGTGGGGGGGGGAAAGACCGAAAGAGAGAGGGAGAGAGCGAACCAATGATTTCATTCTCCTCTACATTTTCTCCCCGTGTACTTTCGCATTTTTAATGTCTTATATTTCAATGCATTTTATGCATTAAGTCCGTGTCACACCGTACAGCTTGTGTGCATGCACAACCGGCGACCACCTTCTTCGAGTCTGCCGATGGGACGAATACATTGCTGAATAGTTGATTTTCGCAAGATGAACGTTTAAAATGCCATTTGTTTGTTCTCCTCTTGAGTTATTCAAACAGTTTCAAATGCTGGATTTCCCCCTTCTTTCCGTCCTTCTTGTGGTCTGCAAGGCGAGCCCGGTGGACTGGACAGCCGAATACGTCTAAGACGTTTACAAGAAGCTTTTTTGAATTTCATTTACCACCAATTTGAAATTATTTGCTTTCAAACCATCATAACACAAGAATTTCTACCTCCTCTTCCCCCGTAGGCCCCCAACCCCCCCAAAAGGAGTCGGTTTCTTTTCCCCTGCTGAACAAAAGCCCGAGCTGTTCAGCATGAACAGGAGGGATAACTCTGCAGATAACAAGGGAGAATTACACCGTATGATTGTAGGGCTTGTAGTAGGGAGTCAAGGGAGCGACAAGGCAATTACTGCTCCCTCCTCTCGTTGTTCTCGCGTCTTCCAATGAATGTTTGTATCGTACACAAGCACGTCTTCTCATCCAATCAGGATATTTATTTTGTATAAAGGGAACAACAGACATAAAACCCTTAAAGTATCAGCTTCTCGCCAAGGAAAGCCCAGGCGTAATGACGAGGGCCCTCCTGTCTGCCCCGTGGCCGCTCTCTCAATTTTCATTGTTGTCTTTTATTGTTGTATTTTTGCTGTATCTTCCTCTAGTTGATTCCTTCTCTTTGCACACAACTCGTTTAACGTCGAACTCTCAAAAACCAATAAGAATAACGGCCTTCAATCCTTTCTGCTTAACCGCCAACTACCAACAGCCTGTTGCACCATGTAAAGCAGCCGCCCTCAATCGCATGCAGGCAAAAGATTTACAGACTGCAGATAAAACAGAAACAGAAGCAGAGCAACCACAGAAACAGACAGCAGCAGCCATACCAGAAGCAGCAGCAGCCCCAGCAACGGCAGCAACGGCAGCGCGCCGTTTCGGTGCAGCGCCATTGGCAGCAGCGGTGTTTGCGGAGGCGGAGGTGGGTGCAGCAGCAGCAGCAGCAACAGCGGATGCAGCAGCAGCAGCAGAATCAGGTCCCGTGGCCCTAGTTGCTGCTCCTCGTGGGTTCTGTGAAGGCGTACGGCGAGCGGTAGGAACAGTAGAAGAGGCCTTGAAGGTGTTTGGGCCTCCGGTGTACGTACACCACCAAATCGTCCATAACGAGTTTGTCTGCAAACAGTTGGAGGTCAGCAGAAAATCGCGCAATTGTAATTCACGCATTGTTTGCAGCGCTGGTGTTTCTTTTGCTGCTATCGCTGCAACAGGGCCAAGTTCTGTTGGTTTAGAGGTGAGATTGATGCTGTTGCTGCAACATCAGCATGTGTTGCTGTTGATATGTCTGTACACTCAGGAAAGAGGAGCTATCTTCGTAGAGAACCTTTCCGAAGTGCCATTAAATTCGGTGGTCGTCTTCTCCGCCCATGGGGTTTCTCCGCAGGTGCGGAAAGCAGCAAAAGAAAGAAATCTGACGACAATTGATGCTACGTGCCCTCTTGTGCAGAAGGTGCATGTGTACGTACACCAGAAAGCACAAGAGGGATATCACATCATCGTCATTGGCCACAAGGATCACGGTAAGACAACGGCTATTTGTTTCTGGACAGTTTTCTTCTACGTGTATGCGTATGTTCTGTTTGTGTGTATGCTTATGGCGAATAAGAATAATGCCCCTTTATTAAAGGGGCACGCCGACAAAACAACATAAAAAATAAGCGCAGTGGATTTGGTTGTGTTTGCATTTGTTCCCGCAGTGAATTGTGTCGTTCTGGCTGTTTGCATGCTTTCATTCCTTTTATTTCTTTCCTTTTATTTCTGTCCCTGCTTGCTGCCTGCTGTTTGCTGCTGTTGCTGCAGTTGAGGTGCACGGGGTTTGTGGGGAGGCCCCTGGGAGGGTGCATGTGGTGGAGAGCAGCGACGATGCCCATTTGCTTCCTTTCTCTGCGGAAGATAAGTTGTTCTATGTGACACAGACAACGCTGAGTGTAATGGACTGTTTGCACATTGAAACAGAGCTTAAAACGAGATACCCCAACATCGAAACTATCAAATCGGGGTCGGTTTGCTACGCAACTTATAATCGTCAAGCTGCATTAGGCGCCTTAGCAGCGCATGCACAACTTGCAATTGTTGTAGGAAGCAGGAGCTCTAGCAACGCCCTCCGACTTGTGGAGATCGCCAAAAGCAAAGGAATCCCGTACGGATACCTACAAATCCACATTTTGCATGCCTGCATGTAGCTGTGCATGCATGCCTACACAGATACAAGCACTCTGTAGCGCATGACCACGTAAAGCGGGAGTCTCTGTGGTGAAATCACTTGATTTTGTTTCTGCTGCATTACCAGCATATGCATTAGCCAGCTGCAAGTTCTTTTTGTTATTTTCCCCAAACTCCCTTCTGTATTGCTTCATTATTGGCGCTCGAATTGCTCCTGCGTATATAGTTCTTGTTACTTTGTTTCCTCTCGCAGGGCTTATCTGGTTGGAGATGCAGACGATGTAGACCCTCACTGGCTGGCTGGCGTGAAACGCGTTGTTATTTCTGCTTCTGCTTCAACTCCCGAAGAATTAACAAAACAAATAATGAACAAATTAAAAGCATTTAATGTTCAGTTGCAAATCGAAGCCAATGCAGTCAACGAGAAGAAGCCCGTGTGGAAGCTTCCCAAGTCCGTTCAGGCACTCCAGCTGCCTGTGTGCACGGTTTGACCCAGGTTTTCCCCCCGCCTTTTCCCGCCTGTAATGGCTTGCACTAACGAAGCACTCTCCTCTAGCTGGCTACTAAAAAAGGTCTCCCGTAGGTTTTGGTACACTGCAGAGCAGCTAACATGACTCAAACGCAACCCGTTAAGCACATCAACATAGGCCAAAGTTTGTTGATTGTTGCTGCAATTGTGCATTCTGCCTGCAGGCCGATACGCGGAAATGTGCAGGAGCTCAGCAGCCAAAGGGATATATCAAAAGCTGCTTGATGCACCAAATGCTCTGTGCATGCATGCGTGCAGTCGCGGATGCCTGCATACATGCATACATTTTTACTTCGGAGAGTGACTTCCTCGTCACGCTCGCGTTCATGAACAGACTGATCCCACTGAAGCTACTTTCGTATAAGCATATCAAAATAACCGTACTAGCTGAGACCAAACACCGAGCAAGCGTGATGCCTAGATCAGCGACTGCATCCTCGTACAGCCTGGAAGTGCTAGATAGTTTCTCAGAGCAACCTGCCATGGTTTTCTAACGATTGCAGGAAATTTGCATCGGTCAGCACAAAACCTCCCCAAGGTCGTAAGGAGAAATATGAGATCATCTGATGACGGCTGTCAGCAACCTCATTACCGTGTGCAAGAGCTTTTCATTGGCAAAGCTCCTTGAGAAAAAATTTATATAAAAAACTATATATGTAAGTACATATTTGAATTAAAAATAAATGAACACTTATTTACTTTTAAAATATATATAAATAAATGTTCATTTGTTTTAAATTTATTTTAAATATGTATTTATATATTTCACTTTTTTGTATAGTGGACATTTAACAAGTGTATATATTTTAAAAATAAATAACCATTTATTTTTTTAATGTTTGACCATTTACTTTTTTAAATATTTGAAAAAAATAAATTAGGATTTATTTAAAAAAAAATTCTTAATACGAGCCTAATCCTAGTGATGAGGAATCCTGCGCGGGGATTGAACCCAGTAAGCACTATTTACAGCTATCAGTATGCCATCTACAGGCCACCCAGTGATAACTCATTCAGTGAGAATGACGAGGGATTCGATGGCCAATCCGCTCCACGTCATCCATTATGCACTTGTGGGGTTTAAATACAAATACAGAATACATATATATATGTAATGCCTTTTGACTAATCTGCCATCCACCCAGCAACCATCTCCACACCTCGTCGCTCACAGTGAGCATAGCAAAGGAAAACAACAGAGTGCTTACACACGAGTTGGGACTCAATGAACGCACAGCGTAGTTTGTACAACGTGAAATTAGCACTGACTGTATCCGTCTAAGCCGTCGTATTTGGGGTTTTCACATGGCAGATAATGGCACGAGGCGAGCAAGAGGAGGAGGTCGTTCTCGTGCTAACACATCTTAAGTTGCTTGACACAATAATGAGCTAATAGAACACCAAGCCAAACACGCTCGCTAGCAACACTGAGGGTTCATTCAAACGCGTGAAGACGGTTGGCTCGGCATTCGGGCGTGCCGTAGGAGTTGGAGCTCCCTCGCATCCCCCTTTTCAACCTTTTGTGCTCGAGGAGGCAACGCCCAACTCCAAAAGCCAGCTATCAAATTTTCAAGGCGAGTCCAATGGCAATTGAGACAGCTCATCAAAAGATACAACAACAATGGACTTCATATATGTCAGACAATGGTCTGTAGGGGTGGACCATTGGTCCATGTGAAGAAGATCCCAGCAAGCGGGATTTGCTGAGGCACGAACACATCGTACAACGCATGATGAATCTTAGGGTATCGTAGGACAAGCCTACTCGCACACTTACAACACCTAGTTGCGCCAAAGTCGTCTGCAATGGATGTAGCACCTCAATTGTGGGAAATTGCGACTATAGCCCGGAGCGTGACGGAGGGCTTTGATGAGATGTTGCGCTCGAGGCACTAAAAGCATATGCAAGTAATAAATGAGGCGATGAGAAGCACTGCTTAGCCAGCATGGATTCTGACTTAGAGGCGTTCAGTCATAATCCAACAGATGGTAGCGTCGCGGCACTAGCTTTTCAGCTAGCCGCATTAACCAAGTATCTGAACCAACTGTTCCTCTCGTACTAAGTTGGATTACTGTCGCAGTATCAAATTTATCAGTAGGGTAAAACTAACCTGTCTCACGACGGTCTAAACCCAGCTCACGTTCCCTATTGGCGGGTGAACAATCCGACACTTTGAGACTTCTGCGTCTCAATGATAGGAAGAGCCGACATCGAAGGATCAAAAAGCAACGTCGCTATGGACGCTTAGCTGTCACAAGCCCTGTGGTAACTTTTCTGACACCTCTAGCTGAAAGTTTCTCAGACCTAAAGGATAGATAGGCCATGCTTTCACAGTTTGTATTCGCACTGAAAATCAAAATCAAGCAAGCTTTTCCCCTTTTGGTCAACATGAGACTTCTGTTCTCATTGAGCTTGCCTTAGGACACCTACACTATTGTTTCACAG